TGGGTAAAAGTATAAATATAATTCTATATGAGGATTGAAAGAAAATTGGTGTCAGATAATTATAGTGTGCACACTGTAGAGGAAATAAGGCTTTAATGCCACAAACCTCACAGCTGAATCAACTGCTCCAATTTCCCTTGTTTCTAGTGCATTTTATACTTAAAAAAACATCCATCCTAAAGTGCTCTACACATTTAAGCTATGCACCTATCATTTCATTTGCTGTTGTTGTATAGTCGGTTTGGGAATAACACATTCTAACCATAATGGTGCACAATTGGAAATGCAGGAGTTGCTTAGTAGGCAGAGTGTATGCAGAACAGACAGATTAATACTTGTTTTTCTGAAATATTCAATGATTGCTAATGACTGCAATGGATCTTATTCTGGACTTAATATTGTAGCCAAAAATATCACTTTCAACCAGGAAATCATTATAGTTAAATTGCGGTTTTGTGGAAACCATGAAAACAGCGTTGTCTGTGATCACTGTGATTTCCAACAAAATCAACCAACACCCCCCCCCCCCCCCCCCAAATTAGCAGTGAGGGGCAGGGCCACTGCAGAATGGCCTCAAAATCGGTTCAAAATTGCAGACTGCCCTCAAAATGTGCACCGTGAGCAGGCTGCGAAAAACCCGTTGTCTTGCCACAACTTGGGAAGGTCCCTAATTATAGTATTTCACCATGGGAAAGGGTAGGATCTGAATGAAGCACAAACACCACTTTCTGTTAACACACTGAAGTTTTGAACCATTCATTACAGCCCTCCTTAGGTGTGACTCTGGAAACACTTGCATGAAGTTACTTATGTATGTTGTACATGAGGAGTCCCAGAGCTTAGTGGCACTATATATAAACAATACATAGTGCTTGCAGATTTGAGGTCCTGGGTTGTGATTACCTACTGGGTCTCAGCCAGGGCAATAAAGACTCAGACAAATTGAATTAATGTTTTTCACTGTAGTGGTCCTATGAAAATAATCTTATTGCATGTATTCTGTTTTTTATTTAAGAACAACTTTGTTCCTTAGGTTTGTACATTGTTCCTCCATCTCAAGTAGAATTTTCCTGGTGTCTCATTTCTACAAAAAGACCAACATTAACAATAGGTTTTATTTAGATAAGGGAAAAATCATAAAACCCCTGCTAAGAGCACGTACCATCTACTTGCACCAAAATGTGCATGTTTTATCCCCAGTGTTCAGTGTTTATAAGTGCTTTTTGAATAGTCCTGAACAGACATTTTACGCTCACATGTGTGTGTGCTATATAAAGAAAAACAAATTTCTCCCAGAAAAACACCTGTATAGGGTTACATAGTTCTAGAATAGCACATGTACATTAAATACTGATATTTATATCATATTTAAGCTGATCTAAAATACATTTTGCAATAAATGTATTTTTAGCTAAATCTCTTGTATTTTAAAACTTTGTATGGTTATGTAATCTGTTCAAGTCTAACCTACAGAAGGTGAAACCTGTAGTGACAGTGTGGAAACAACAACATTTGGGTAGACAAAACTGTCAACAACCTCAGCCTGAAACAATACAAAAGAAATAAAAGCACCATCATCATTGACTTAAGAAGCAGTGATTGGGTACTTAACTAAATATAGAAGCATGTTGTGATGTTTTTAATATAAAAAAAATCATATTTCATGGGAAAAAATGCAGTTTATCACTGTTGCTATGTACAAGGAAAGAAGATAAAAATTTTCAAGAATAGCATCACCAGTATAAAAATTACATAACGTTTTAAAGTGTGTTGTACTTGGGCAACTATGTTTGAGTTTTGAGGACCACATCTTGCCCTGGGTGACAGTAAATTCCATGTGACCCAGAGCTAAATATGACTATGATATTTATAGACTATGTATGTTGAATTAAGGAAGTATTACCAAGCTTTATTCTCCTATAATTTCTTTTTTCCAAACTGGAAGAAGAGAATTAAATTAGTTTATTATGCTTTGGGAACATGCCACTCTGTTCCTCACCACAGCTTCACATTTATCTCCATTGCCTGCTGACCTACTATTATGTTATTTTGTATTTCCTTCTAAATAGCAAATTAATTTAAAGAAAACTGAATTTCAAATAAAATGTGTTAAGTAAAAGACCCCATATAAACTCCTTCTATGCTCTTGGATATCTTTTCCACATTTCAAAAACCCAAGTTTTGAATTTGGCAGCTTGAGATATGCATGTATGTGTGAATTGGATTTTTAGTGACATTAGATGAGTTCCTTGTATACTTGCATTCTGATTTTTAACTGACAGCCTCCATTTGTTTGTTCAAAAGCCTATAGATATTCACTCTTGGTGGCTCTGATCTCACAGCCACACACAGAGATAGATTCAGTTCAATGGTATTTCTTGCTTGAGCTAGTTTTGGCAGGATCACGGTCCAGTTGTCTTGCACGTGCGTGCGTGTGTATAGGTGATTACATTTTTGCATGCAAAATCCATGGAGCTTGCAGGGGTAAATTCTACACTCTAAATGATAATATATCCCAGAAATTCAATGCACACAATTCATGAGTTCAATTGCAAATCAGACCCTTTGGTCCCAATTCTGTTCTCCTTGAAGTTGATAGCAAAATTCCTGTTGATGTGACTGGTAGGATGAGTTATATGGGATGCTGCAATTTTAGGTAAGTACAGGCAATCAAAAAGCCCTAGGCTGAATCAATTCAATCTTCACAGGTTAGTCTAAATTGTATAAATTGAACCAATAAGCAAGTGAACAGACATTCACTTTTGATTCTGGAAATGCAGCCATGTACCTGCAGTGACAGCAAAAAGCCATGGGGACTTTAGAGCTGGGGCAGGCAAAATATGGCCCATGGGCCAGATCCAGCCCACCAGGCAATTTCATCTGGCCTGTGGGTGGGTGCCTACCAATTTACTGTATCTGGCCTGGCCCAGCCCCGGGCTGCTCCTGCTGTGCCTGCATGGGGCTGAGTCCCGCTCACTCCTGTGGTGGCAGCCCATGCTGCACTCCCACCCTCGCACATGGGATGGCCTTGACCCCAGCCCTGAAGGTAGGGAAGCAGTGATGGGTGGGGGGAGTTGCAGCTGCAGACAAGTGGGGGGGAAGTGATGGCAGTGGGCAGAGGGGAAGATGTGGCAGCAGCAGAAGTGGTGGCAATGAAGCAGCAGCAAGGAGGCAGGTGGGAGTGCAGGGCCTGCACTGGTGCCCCAGGGCTGTGACCAGTGGAGGCCCAGGGCAGGGTGGGTTGGCAGAAGCATGGAGCTCAGGGCATGGGGTCCACCTGGTTCTATCATGCGGGGCTCCCTGGGGCTCATATGCAGTTCCCATGTTCTCCACCCAAGCTGTGCATCTCCAGGAGTGCCCTGCACAATGGAGCCAACGGCCTGGCCCCACTCACTGCCACGTGCATACTATGGGGAATGGCAGGAAGCTCTGTGTTATGGAACTGGTCTGGCTCTGCCCCTCTCTCTGCCACCCCGGTCAAGCCCCATGACCTGTACTGCCAGCTTCATTGCGTGGGGCTTCCCTTGGTGGTGTGGGACTCGGGCAAAGAACCCAGGAACTGTATGTGAGTCCTGCGCAAGGGAGCTGGCAGCCCAGCCATGTGTAGTCTTGGGGCTTGCCAGGACTGTGCACCACCAGGGAGACTCTGACTGCTGCAGACCATGAGTGCCCCAAGGGCCTGCTGCTGCTTCTGCTGGCAGTGGGTGCTGTATGCAATGGGGGGAAGTGAGGAGGGTGTGTTTGTAGTGGGGGCCCTACATGCATGCTCCACCATACAGATGCACCCACATCCCCCCATGCACACCCCACACACCCTCTCCATCCGCAGCCCCCACAAGCCCTCCACACACACACATCCCCACAAACACACTCCCCAATAAACCCCATACACACACACACACACAGCCCCTACAAACCCCATATCCATGCACACCCACACGCCCACAAACCCTACACATCCACATACACCCATTCCCCCACACCCCATATACAGTCTCCCACCAACCCAATAACCATACCACCTCCATAACCTCCCCAAATACCCACACCCTCCCCCACACCCCACAGTGTCCCCCACAAATCCCATACCCACCCACCCATACTCCCCACATCCCTCCAAACCCCCAGCCCCCCACAATATACAAGAGTAAGTCTTCATTTTAAGCCATTATGCAATCACCTCTATGCACACTATGCAAACACACACAAATCAAAATGTTTTTCGGGGAGGTATAAAACATCATGGGATGCTGAGGGGACTGTGAGTTAACTTGAATCTAGAGGGGATCTGGCACAGAATTTTGATAAACTGATGTAACCTAAATCAGTTAAGTCTGATACTACATCCACCCAGGTTTATTTTAAACCAGTTTTGGCCATTTTGAAAATGTTTTATGTGCACTGAACTTCTGTTGTGTTACAGATTTAAACCGGTTTCCGATTGCTTATACTGGTTTGTGTAATTTCTGTCCCTAGCCTATGTGCTTTTTAAACTCAACAGAGCATCGGGTTTTTAGTTGATAGTACTCATCTTTGCAAGGAAGGAGTTAATGCTGGGTTAGGCTTTTGCTCTTCAAATAGGTCTTCAAACAAGACCACTTTCTTTGCTGCCAAGGTTGCTGCTTGTACAATTTAATTTTACTTGCTACAGAATTAACTTTTAAAAGGCTTAATGTGGTTTATAAGACTTGCATTTAATTAAACATTAAGATGCTGTATTGCAACTGCCTTGTGTCATGTTATCATGGTGCCATGATACAGCATCCTGGTATTCTATTGTCTGATAGGTATGTGGAAGTAGTTTGTAATAAGTTGCTAATATCAGAATTATTTCAATATTTTTAGAAAGAGAGTGTGTTTTAAGAAACTGTTGAGAATGTTACCTCATAGTTAATTTTTTTTAGTTATTTCAGAAATTGGGGGGGATTTTTTTTATATCAATCCCATATGAAATTTATAAAAGGAAGTAGACCAGTTCTCCATTATCTTTGGATGCAAGGCCCTTTATATGCAAAGAATATAAAATTTAAAAATGTACAAAGTGTATTTAAAATGAAACATTAACACGATACTTGAAGTGCATATTTTTTTTACAAAATATACAGCCACTTTGCTATTTTATAAACGTAGCAATCAAAGGTTACCAGCTGTGTTTCTACTAAGATGTTTTTGTGACATACAACATGACTAAAAATGAACAAAGACATTCAAAATTATTTTCTAAAGTCTAGTTTGTCATTTTGCTTTCCAAGACTGTAGTTAACATCTTTTCTATCCATAAATGAACATGCACCTGTAGCCCTCTATATTTTGTTTTTCTTAATATTTTAGCAAAATTAACTGAATATTTATGGTTATATATAAACATACAATACCATTAAAAACACCAGAACTTATATATTCATTCTTTACAATGTAATTATTAAATAGCTGCTTCAGAATTCTTGTTTTTTTAATATTCTGCTATTATGTCTAAAAAGAAAAGTATACATAGACATGTGAAAGGTAAGTAACACCTGTTAAAAACAAAAGCTTTTAAAAGTGGTACAACTGCTCTCATTTTGGAAAGCTTTCTTTTTTCAGTAGCAATTTCACTGTTACCCTCATGGCTATATGTTGGTGTGTTGAAATGGTTGACTATTTTTATGGCACTGATGATTTTCCACAGTTCCAAACTGAGGTCATGTTTGAGTCCATTGTTTTTCTCCACTTAGAGAAATCTGAAACTCCTGTGAAGCTGTTCCAATACAAGTCTGATAAGGTTCTGAATGCTTACAGATGATGGCTTACATGTGGACACCTGCACTGGCTAGCATGCTGCAGATAGCCAATTTTCTTGATTGGTCTTCTCTGTTTCATTCTTCTTTCTGTTAGAAATTGTGAATTGTACGACAAAAGCACTATTACATTAAATTAAAAATCATTATCTTGTTAAGCTGTGCTTATTTTTAAACATAGTAATTGCTCTTCAGTAAAGCCCAACCTTTTGACATAAAGAAAATATAGGCTTTTCAAGACTAGTGTGATTGCTTAAAGGTTTTGGACAGCAAAGCATTATTTCAGATTTGTGCCATTTTTATAATCCTGCTGACATGCAATTGCAAGGATCTGTGAAGAGCATGTGTTTTTAAAACAAAACAACAAAAAGAAAATAGTCAAACATTCTTAACCTCTGGCCCAGGAAGGAAGGGCTTGCTTTCTTTATAAGGGCTCTTTCACTGTAGTGCCACATTCCATATCATGTGTTCCTTTGACTTGGAGGAACTATGTACTACAGAAAATCAGGATGGATCAGACAGATTTTCTTTTTGTGGTTTGTTTTACTTGTGCTGTTTGGGTGCAGTGTTTGTTGTGAAAGCCAATACACCAAATTTTCAAATACATTAGAAAGGTCTAGTGTGACAGCTCAGTTTCCAGGGGTATAAAAGGTAGTCTTTACAATGATAGGACATTGGTTAAGTAGACTGTTTTAAACTTATGTGCCTGTGTTGGGACTTGGGAGATTTGGGTTCAGTTTTAGCTTTGCCTCAGCCTGGTTGTGACTTTGGGCAAATCATTTAATCTCTCTCTGCCTCAATTCTCTATCCTTAGAAGGAAGATTATAGTACTTCCTTTGTCTATCTATATTGTAAACACCTTGTGGTAGGAACTGTCTCATTACAGCTGCTATGAATAAATAATAATGCTAAAAAACCCATAAAAAGTATACCATTATTATTCAATACATACATATTAATTTTAGAAAACATAAATGGAATTTTACAGTTCTGTATTGGGATTTTTGACTTTCCAGTTCATATTGGATACCCACAGCCTGGGTTCTCCAGTTGACAGTGTGTCTGTTTTCATTTGGTCTGATGGGTACAAGTCATCAGAAATCCTACTGGACAGAATGGTCCTTTTGAAGGGCCTCATAAATCCGTTTCATGCTTTTGACATTTGAATTTACCTATAACTTTTACAAAATTTAGGGGAATCACAAAATCATAGTGGCTGCTTCTAAGTAGGTTTCAAGTGATTTTCCCCCTCAAACACTTGAAAGTCAGCCAGATTCTTTGTTCCAAGTCTTTGAGGATGCAGCTTTTGGAAGTGTTGGAAATGGCCTCTCTAGAGGAATTGCTTGCCTACAGGACTTTAATGGCTGCATAAGGACAAATGTTGTACTCAGTACCTATGTGTGTGCCCATCAATTGTTTATTTGAAAGGGAAATATCTCTAACAATGAAAAGCACTTTATGAATCTACTTCTGCAACAAGAAGGGGAGAAGGAAAACAGGCATTTGTGAGATCTTTTATAAATCTAATGCAGCACTTGAACACATTAATCATGACATCTCAAGCTATGAATATAGGAAAATTCCTTAAAAATGTGAATTTTGAAAAACTTCAACAGAAGACTGTTTTAGATCTTGTCTTGGTTTTTTCTAGTTGTAGAAGTGATCAAAAAATCAAGTCTGAACACAGGCGATGTTTTCATTATTATTTCAAATTCTGACAAAATTTTGACAAACATTTTTGATGTTTTTCAACCAGATCTAATTGAGCCTAAGAGCTCAATTCTGCTTGATTATGCAAATAGCTTCTTTATTTATATGAGTACTTCCACTGAGATCAATGAGATTACTCACATAAATGAAGTTACTCAGGTATGTAAATATTTGTTGGGTTGGGGCCTAAAACTAGACAGGAATGTAAACTGAAATTGAAAGCCCACTTAAAATTTTAAGGAATTGCTGATAATCCACAACTCTGAACTCAGGAGAAGCTTCAATGCTCCTCTTCCCTTCCCCCAGTGAAGTCCTCTGGATTCCTAAACATCTTGACAGAATAGGATTATAACAATCTTTAACTAAATGCCTGTACAATAGGTTATGAATTAACAAGTGCATTGTTTTGCTATGTCATTGACTTTTTTGTTACAAGAAATCAACTCCACAAATGAAAGCAGATAACTTTGAAAATAGCTTTTAGTCTAGCAAATTGATATTCTGTAAGAAAAATAATACAACAGTAAGTGCACATTTATCACTCAGACAATGCAATCTGAAGCCAAATGCATTATATACTATTTCAGGGGCACATTAGAGAAAAGGTAGATGGTCTCAGAACAGACAGTCTCCAGCCTATGGATACTAAATGTGGCGCTGAGGGAAGGGGGGTGTTGAGTTCACTACTTTAATCAGAACTGAAGCAAGATATTCAACGTAGACTCAACAAGCCTCCTGCTCCTAGACCTAAATTCTATGTCCCTTCCTATCACTCAGCTCACTTACCTGCTGCCTACTGAATGAGCTGATCTGATTGCTTTAGCTGATTATGTTTACGTTGTCACTGATGAGGAATCTCATCTAATCTGTCTTCTGTTGAAATCAACATGTAAATGGACCTTCATCTTCAATAGTGAATAATTATTTGGAAAGATGTTTCCTTAAACATATTGACATATGTCCAATAAGAAATCACAATGGTTGAGAGAGGGGAAAAAACAAGGTGTTATAACATGCACCTTGAAATATGCTAATTTCTGCCTTGGTAAAGCAATACAGGAGTAAATCTGGAGTTATTCTGAAAACATCTTAATCTGTCCTTAGCCTTGCAAGTTTACCAGTGTCCTGTGATCTATGTATGCTATATACACATGCAAAGAGTATTTATAGCCCAACACTATCTAGTGGGGAGGGAGTGAGGATATCCTTAGATAGTTGATTTTGGGGTGTGGATGTGTATTTTTTGCAAACTAATTACTGCATAGGTAAGATTCTGGATATCTTGTGGCATTTTTAGAAGTGTCTTCTGCTCTTTGTTTTTTCTCGCTGTCAACAGAGCAAACAAATCTCTCTGTTCCTCCTAGTACAAATTCTGTCATCATTTATTTATTATACCGAAATGCCTGGAGCTACAGCATTATCTTGATATATAACAAAGAGTTTAGAAGACGCAAAACTATTGATTCCATGTTTTATTTATCTTTAAATTGCATTCTTCCCTGAAAGGGACTCTTGGTATCCTTTTGATGCCTACCTACCCTAGTATATTTACATATTCTACCTGCATGCTTCTAGAATTGCTTAGTATTTGAATGCATATGCTGTAATCATCTATAAAGCATTAATGTTGTGTACTTGCATAGGCTTTCATCCAAGGACCTCAAAGCCCTTTGCTGACATTAAGTTTCACAGACCCCTTTGAAGTAGATAAATGCCATTATATTGATAGGGATGCCTTGGGCAAGGAAGGATCAAGTGAGTTGCCTCAGGCCACACAGGAAGTTAGTGTCACAACTATTACCTAGAAGTCCAGGCTAGAGTCAAAGTCTAACCACAAACTATGTCTTTCTTTTTAAAAAAAACTTTTGGAGCGTGTTCTGCCTGAAAGACAAATTGCAAAAGGGAAAATAATTGCACTGGAAGGTGTTTTTAGCAAAACAGCCTTTCAGATCTAACAGACCCAAGAGTATTCAGTCTTGAATGCCTGAGAAAAGGAGGGAGTTTGTACTTGCCTATTGAGAGGCAAAGATGGAAAATTAAGGCAGGACAGTCCCTTATCAGGAATTAATTCACTCCCATGCAAAATGTGCTCTGCAGAGCACCCTTGAGTCATGTCCAGTGTCCCTAGTGAAACTGGATTCCTATGGAGTTTAAACAAATACTGCTTTTTCCCCGCTGTGACTTTTTAAAAGCCCTATTTTCAGTACAAATCACAAAGACTTGAGACCAAGTTAAATCATGTCTGTGGTTTGGTTAGTAAAATGTGCCTCCAACTGTTTTGAAACCTAGGTATAATTTAGAAATGTGCTTTTCCTGGAGAGCGCGCTCAGCTGCCCACACAGCCTTTCCAGAGAAATGCAGGGAGAGGCTTTCATAATTACATCCTCCTGGCGCCTGATTTTATTACCAAACACTTATGAATTACCATCGCCTAAATTTAGCAAAGCAACACCGGCTTGAAGATCCCTCAGGGGAAAGGCACTCTGGAGTGGAGAGGCATGCATCTCCTGTGAGCGCAGTTGTGTCTGTGTAGTTTTCTGCGCAGGACCAGGTTAGCTGAAAGTCAGAAGAGAAAGGCAGATCACAGGGTTGGAATAGCAAGAGGCTTCAGTGATCATTTGATTTTTTTTTCCCCAAATCAACTGATGACTGCGAAGAATACGGGAAGCAGGGTTCACAGTGGACATCAGTGTTGTTCACTGAACAAGTGGGTTAACGATTCCCCCCTGGCTGATAGCTAGGGATCTGTGGATAGTAAAGTACTTCTGAGTACTAAACAGGAAAGCAACAGAAAGGTGGACAGACTTCTGACACTGCATTTTCCATTTTCTCAGACCTTCCCCTCCTTGTCCTTAAAAGCCCCCTGCCTACCTTTTTTTGAATATTCATTAACAAAAGCATTGATTCCTTCCCATCTCAGACATAGTACCAAGTGCAGCTCTCATCTCTTTGCTTGGAAGGAGGACCACATCTGAGACGCTTCTTTCTCGATTGGATTAAACTTAACAGCAGAGTCAGCAATGCAACCACCACTGGGCTACACTAATCCTTGGTTCCCCTCTTTGCCTTGAGGAGAAAAGTGAATTTCCTTTGGAAGGAGTGACTGCTGGTATAATTACCTGAACTGCCTAACTATGAGAGCTATAAGAGTTTGCCCAAGATCAGACAGGGAGACAGTGGCAGAAACAGGATTAGAGCCCAACTACTACTTGGACTTGTGATTCTGTATGTTATCCTTCTAAAACCCTGACTATATGTTAAGTTTGTGACATACCAGGTACCTGTTTTGATTGTGGCTTAATCTTCCACGGAAAGCAGTAAGTAAACCTGCACTGAAGCCAGGTAGAACTTTCTTTCCCCTCCAACTCAATGCTCGCATCAATTCTACAACCGTTTTGCATATGGATTGCTCCTTAAGTGTCCCAATCTGCCCATCTCAACCTAGCGATGGCTGCTATTGACCTGCCTTCAGCTCAGTTTCATTCTGTTGCATTGTGATTTTTATCAGGGCATAGTGACAACTCTGTTGTAAAAGCTGAAGCTAAAATGCCTTGGATGCTCCATACCAACATAATGTACCATGTAGCTGAGCACTTGCTGCCCAGTTGAGGAGCTGAACAGTGCATCTGATGGTGCTTTGTTCTGAATCGCAATACCGTATCTGTCTGCTTTGAGTCCAGTATCTTTTGACCTCCTAGTAGTTAAAAGTGATCAAGTGTATGGTGCATCCTCTCTACTACTGTTATATATTGGGCTTTTAAAGAAAAACATCCCAATGTAGTACAGTACCTAAAAATCCTGAAACATCTCACAGCAAGAAACTAATCTTAAGTCTACCAAGTGCTTTCATAAAGCATGCAGATTAATACAAAGTAATATTAAGACACAATTCCTACCTGGTCTCTGGCCAGTGGTAAGAAGTAGACTCAGCAAGAGGAAAAACACAATGTGAAGGAGCTGCGGGAATCTCATCTTGCAGTCACAGCAAGTAGCACCGGTATTTGATAATACTTGGAGTAGATCAAACAATCCTTGCAAGGCTCTGCAGTGCCTGTGTGTCACCCTCACATCCTATGACCAGCTAACAGAGTGAACTGCCAGCTGCATTTTCCAGCAAGGTTAATGATCACATAAGACAAGGTTACTGGTTCTGCACTGTGGTCAGTGCCTCCCTCTTTCCCCTCTTTTTGTCACTCCCCCTTATTTTCCATAAGTAAACAATGAAGGAATGAAAGGTCCATGTAAACAGTAGCTTCTGTCAATGTATATGGGGCAAGGGGTCCTGTGAACAATGGAGCAACTTTGCTTTAAATTCAACCCAGGCAGGGAGAAATATGTTAAACAAGGAACCATGTTCCCTCCCCACATTTGCAACTGTTTAAACTTTGCATTGCCCATATTGGTCCCACATGCAGAAAGCAATGGAAATGACAGGAAGTCCCCCCCCCCCTTTGTCCCTTCTGAAAGAATTCTGAAGCACATACTTAAGGTTCCCCAAAAGCATTGTGGTCCTTGTCAATGCCCAAATGCTTTCTCTCTTCTAAAGTAGCTGCGAAGTAGTGCCCATTCAAGGCAAAACTGTAAGCTATTAAACTTAACATGTGGCTTTTGTACTATCAAGTGTTTCTACAGGATCAGAATATGCTGGACTGAATGTATATGACTTCTGGCTGTTATTTGGTAAAATAAAAAGGGTACAGGTTTGGGATGTTTTAATATTATGAATAGTCCTGCAGCACTTCCGCAGCAAAATACTGACAGAAGGTGGAACAGGATGTTATATAGCTCAAACCTACCTACACACTGCACTATACACTGTACAGCATAAATCAGTTTTAACAAGACTGTGCTGAAAGTCTGACCTAATAAAAATACAGATACACAAACCTGTAGAGGATAGAGAGCTACAAGTTAAAATTTGGCCAAACTCTTACTTAATGATGTCCTGCTGCCTTCTTGTAGTGGCAGACAGACTACTATCATGGAAAATTGATTTTATCAATCATTCAGACTGTGTAAAGAATAACTTATTTGCAGATTTTAAATCAATCCTGATGAAATAATAAATAATTCCTTACCTGCAGTTATCCCTGCTTTATGGCTCAGACTACGTATGGAGTACATGGACTACAGATGCTAAGGCACATAAAGAGATTAAACAGCTTCCACATGAGATGCCTGCATAAGATCCTGAAAATAAAGTGAGAAACAGAATACCAAACACAGAGGTGCTGAAGCGTGTGGGACTAACACACCTAGAATCCATTATAAAGAAGAGGAGGTTGCGATGGATCAACCATGTCAGGAGAATGGGAGGAGACTGTATCCCCAAGAATATTTTGTACAGTGAGATTCAAGACAGCTTGAGAAAGTACACTTGCCCTCTATAGTGGTACCACAGTGTTTGCAATAATGATACAAAGCCTTTCAATATCCATGTAGAAAGCTTGGAGGAGCATGCATAATCAATCCCCTCCAGTCTGATGGGAACATCTGGCACTGGGTGCAGCCCAACATGATGCTGCTCTGATCCAGGGGATGGAAACAAAGTGAGAAAGGAGAAAGCAGCATCCTGTAAATGTGGACTCCAAATCAGACAATGCTTGGATCTGTGAAAGTTGTACCAAGCTGTGTTGCTCTCAAATTAGGCTTGTCAGCCACAAGCAGATTCATCAGGCACCTGACTGCGCACACCACAATCCCGATGATTGACAGTGGCCTGTATATTATTATAGTCCTGTTAAAGAATTATTGAAGGTGGTTTAAAACAGAGAGAAAAAGGGGACAGGCTTTTTATTAAATTATATGGGTGGCGTTTTGTCATTGTTTATCATTCAGAGATTTCTACTGGTTTAATTCCTATTAAATTTTATAACATTTATTCATAAGAAAAGGGACACTGGATTTGATCTGGATAACATATATTTGTAAACAGCACTGTATGAAAGGTGTAACCTGTAGTTTGATCCATACAAGGGAAATAATTTTTGATGATTATAACTTAAAACTGGTGGAGCATAGAAACTTTTTTTACACTTCTCTTTACAAGTTAATGGGATTGCTAAATTTGTCTGTCCATTCTTTTTGTGACTCCTCAGATTGGACTTCCATGTTATTATTGTGATTGTTACTATTATTATTAGGTTATATATAGTTGAAGTAATTCTGAGAAATCAGGGTGCCATTGTACTGACTCCTGCACAAATACATTGTGGTGGACAGTCCTTACCTTAAAGAGCTTATAGTTTGAAACAGCAGGAGGGAGTGGGAACAACAGAAGAAAGTGGAAAAATTGTTTGCCCAAGATCACATAGGGAGGCAGTGGCAGAAACAGAATTAGAGCCAAGATGTCCCAAATCTCAGCTCCATGCCATATCCACAGGAACTCATTTAGTGTTGTGTAAACGTGGGCTTTATGAACTAGACAAAGCTGGCCAATTCCTTCATTCGCCCGGTAAATGATGATGACTTCCAATTGGCAGCAAACTGCATTAGATTGAAACCAATAACCTAAAGGTGAAAAGCACCTGGATTCCAAGGTGATAGATACATTGTAAATACTTACAAAGTCGAAAGAATGCCTGGACCTTTGCCAGCCTCCCAGGCTATCCAGTCCGTTCATGGTCCTACAACTTTTAGAGCCTACAAACATTTTGAATGAAAGTGATTTACCTGAAGATACAAATATGTTTGGAGACTAAGATGATATTCAGCACTCTAAGTTCAGTCCTTTACATTTCTAGCTGCATAGTACATTCAATATATTCTATATTACAGCTTAAAAGGGTTATTTCTTTTTCTATATGAAAGTTTTAAAAGGGTTATAAGATGGTTATCACAGATTTCCTAGAAAATTGGCTTAAGTTAGAACATTTTTTGACAGGCATCTGCTGTGGAAATTGCTGACATAAGCAATAGTTTTGCAGCTTAGTTTTATGACTCCTGAGAAATTATATTTCTTCCAAATATAATCTTTTTCTTGTCATTTTCAATGCCTGAAATAAGACAAAACCCAACCAGACGAAAAAAGGTGGCTTATATTCCTACCCTTCAGCACCTTGTTTTTCATCTAGTTCAAGAGGCATCAGAAAGCATCAGAAAGCTACACTGCATCAGAAAGCTACACTGAGAACAGACCCAGTATAGGGAAGCGAGGCAGATACTATGTAAAATGGTTCCCTGGATCAAGACTCCCATTGTCACCCCTTTCTGTAGTTTGTTGAAGCACCAGAAGAGTAAGATTGAATTTATACTTTTAATATTCATGTATGTTGGTGCTATTCCTCCACTAGGTAGATTTCTCCAAATTGGATGTATTTACCTGCATACATCCTGGAAGCAAAAGTGCAGTTAACATCATTTATTTAAAAGAAAAAACAAGCTTTGTCTATTATTCTTTTGTTTTGACCTCCCTAATACCTAATATAAACAGAACAAGTTGCAGTGACTATAGTTAAGACTGTTCAACACTTCAATAAGGTCCTGTTTTCAGGTTAAAACTTTACCAAATTTAAACTATTATTACTGACATTTTCTATGCTGGGTATCCACTTTAAGCCAGATATTTATTTCTTTAATTTTTGTGAGGGAAAGTTTCAACTCTAATTGCTGTACAATTTTTGGAAACAAGTTTAGGGGACAACATGCTGTTTTGCCACGTTAGAGTATAGAAGGGCTTTCAACCAGTTCAAGTCAAAGCTCTAGTGACTCTATATATTTTGGAATAAAGCTTCAAAAATTGGCCTAGGGGCCTACCATAGTGTTAGCAAAGTGCTTTCTTTGGAAAGAGCCTTGAGATCTACTGGTATAAAACACTTAAAAAAGTTTAGTATTATTATTTATTTTGTTTAGTATTATTTTTTGTTTTGTTATCCTTGCTAATTGCTTAGATTGCTTAGATTTGACCAAGTTATAAGTTTCTGAAGAAATCTCACTTCACACATACTGCTCGTGCTTAGAATTTGGCAGCTAAATTCTCAGAAGATTTTGCCTGTTCTGTGTGTCAGATTGCATATCATGAATAATATTTTATCTCAGTAGCAGTAAAGCTGAGCTCTCTAGTTGATGGTCCACAGACTGTATGCGGCCTGCGAGCTGTCAATGTACAGCCCACAGACCCCGGCAGCAACCTTCTTCACTGCCAAACAGCAGGGAAGTGCCTGCAGGTCCATGGGCCACCTGTGCAGATCATACAGAACAAGGCTGCGTACCTTACAGCAGGGAGCTGCTAGCAGACAGGGCAGGGGGGGTCTGGATGCTGTCAGCACAGCCTGCACAGCAGAGGGGCCACATGCTGCCAGCACAGCCTGTACAGTGAGGGGGATGCCTGGAGGGAAGCACCGGGTGGCCCACACCCTCAGCACAGTTGACAGCCCTGCAGAAGAGGGCTGCAGGGGCTAAAGCAGGACCCTGCGGTTTCTCCTTTTAGCGACTTAGGGCTCCTGTGATACTGGGCACTGAAAGGAACAAAGAGACTGTGTTTTTCACACTGAATGCTTTTCCTGATGGTGCCTAGGAAGCACTGAGAAAAATTAAGCAATCAGACATGAATGCAGAGAGTAGAGATGGGAAAGACAAAGTGTGGGAGAGGGGTTAGAAGCAAGAGCTGGGAGCTGGAAAATGGCACGAGGGGATGGGAGAGTAAAAACACAGTTCTTATCTGATGCTTTGGTCACGTAAGCCAAAATTGTCAAAATGGTCAGGGTGTGTTCCGTGTTTTCTCAGTACTTACCATTAGATACCTGGGGTCTCCTTTGCAGAACTGCTGGTTACTCATAACTGCAACCAAGGTTAGTGGATGTTTTAAACATATTAAGTGCTAAAATGCCACATAAGGCATAAGGCAAATGTCACATAAGAGAACAGCAGCAGTGTCTCCCAATGCCTGAGCAAAGGTGTTTGTGCCCGAAAGCTTGCAAAGAACTTTTCCCAACTCTTTAGTTGGTCTAATAAAAGATATCACATCTACCCAAAGAACCTTGTCTGCCTATGTCCTTAGACCAACATGGCTACAACCAACAACCCTGCAAAATGTCACATAAGACTTTTCTAAAAAAAACCCCAAACCTCCAGTTG